GTGTAGCACTGCTTTTTGGTACCAGTTTACCAAAACTGATAAACTGAATAGATAACCCTTGAGTTGTGTTATGCTTTCCCTGTCAGCTGATGATCTCACTCAGTAGCTAAAAGACTGGTGTTCACTGCTTTTCTTGCATTACTTTAGGTTTTATAATGTCTTGAAGCATTACAACTGTAACCAACACAACCTGAATCTTTTGTCTTTTATTTGAATGCGTCTTGACAAGGAAATACGTAGTTTTAAAATGTAAAAGGACAGTACATTGAGATCTGCTCTGACCAACAGCAAGAAAATGATACAATAGGCTTCCATGCCTCAGTGACTCCTTATCAACTGTGCTCTGCTTATACCTCGGGACTCTTACTCAGGGCTAGTCTATTCTCCAGCTTTGCCAGCAAAGCTCCCTAGTGGAGATGCAATGTACACAAGCAAAAGGAGTTATTTTTCTGATGCAGTTAAACTACCTCCCCAAAACATATTGAAATAGCTAAGCAAGGTTCTTTGGGTAAATGTGATATATTTTATTAGACCAACTGAGTAGCTGGAAAAAAGTTCTTTGCAAGCTTTCGAGTGCAATCACCCTTCTTCAGGCATAGGAAGTTTCTGCTGTTCTGTGACTCCAAGGAATGAGAGAAGAAGGATTGACTGAAGAAGGGTGATTGCACCCAAAAGCTTGCAAATAACCTTTTTCCAGCTACTCATTTGGTCTAATGAGAGATACCACATCTACCCAAAGAACCTTGCCTGCCCAGGTCCTTAGACCAACACAGCTACAACCAAAAACCCTTAGAACAGCCAAAGCACTTTGTCCAGCTAAGTTGTATTGGGATGGATTACTCATATTTCTCTACCAGTTAGACCCTATTATCCCTAACCAACATAACTATGCCAGTAAGCTTTGTAGTACATAGCTTGCCAGGCCTTTGACTGATTTTTTTTTACAGGCCTAAAAGCTAATATGTATTGTTCTTGGCTTGTGCATTATTGTTAGCAATAATTGTATAATCTGAGTTCTGTGCTCCAACCATGGCAACCTCCTTCTTTTCAGTGGAATTGTACGTTTGTACTGAAAGATGGGATTTTGCCCTAGCAATTAGAAGCTAGTGAATCATTCTGATGCGGGAGGAGAAATAAAATTGTGCTCACTCTCCCAAAGTTTCTGAAGATGTACAATTCTGGAAGCAGGAAAAACAAGAATGTAAATTTATTGTTGTCAGTATTATCAGCAGGTGTGGTGCTGAAAGGATGCAAAAAACAGTTCTGTTGAATAAGAATACCATTTTTAAGACACTTTTAGGATTAAAACTATATTTAGATGGTATTTTGAAAATGTGTACAGTATATATTTTCAAATACTTTTTGCTTTTGCTCGTCAATGCTGTTGCTTGAGTGTTGGAAATATTTTTCTTTTACTACTGTATGACTGATTTGATTGCTGCTTGAAGAACCATAAGATTAATTATGTTTTAATAAGTATGGAAACTTTTTTTTTAGCAATTTATTATAGCTCAATAAACCCATCCCAGGACTAAATATGTGACGTTGAGACAGACAAATGCGGGGCTTAAAAGGTAGCATATCCTTTGGGGATCTAGTTGGGGATGGTCCTGGTTTGAGCAGGAGGTGGGACTAGATGACCTCCTGAGGTCCCTTCCAACCCTCATTTTCTATGATTCCGACTGTGCTGTAAAAGAAGTAAAAATAACGGCTGTAATCTAGTTCATTGTTCCCTTCTTAATCAAACTATATAGATTTAGAGAAAACTGTTGTTGTGGCTCCTGGGTGTCAGCTTCACTTTACTATTTAAATCTGAGTACGTTGAAGTGGCATTTCCCTCATACAGCCTCCTGCTGTGGTCTCTAACCAGGGGCCAGAAGCAGTTTTCTGCTAATTTAACAAATTCATGCTTCAGACTTAGAACCTTGTCCTGCTCAGTTCCTCCCCCTCTTTCCTGGCCCTGCTGGTTGAATAAGCACTTTGTTTCTGAAGTAGAGTAGCGTATTTGCTTCTCTTCATCCTCTCCACCCACTCAAGTTTCCATTGGGTGCGCTCTAAAATTCCTAGCTGTTAAGCAAAATGATGACTGCGGTAACCCTGAGTATACTTGCTGGTCAAGTTGACGGGGATTGCCTGTGACATTCAATTCTTCGTTCCCATAAAAGGGCTTAACGATCAGAGGAGCCCTTTAAACAGAATTCAATCGCAAAAAGCCTTCATTTTTCTTAAATTGTATGTTCCTTTTTATTATTAAGTAGAGAAATATGAAGTCAATGTTCTACATGAAAACAGTCAAGTAAAATATAGTAATTATAACTCCTGGATTAAAAGTGAAGAGGTTTTTCTTTAATGAACATACCCAAAACAACCATGTTCTACAAGTGACCAGTGTTATATCCAGGACTAAACTGTGTTCTTTCCACACTTCAGTTTGGCAGCCTGTATCTATATAAAGTGAAGATCAGCAACTATTAGAAAATGGATTCCTATTCCACATGTATTATATACATTTTCTATATCAGTTACTTCAAGTCCAAGGGGAAAAAAACCTTTCAGAATGTTTCGATTTCTTTCAAATATACTGTGAAGTGAATAAATCCTAATTTTGGTATTAAATCATATATTGGTGTGGAATATTAGCTACTTATATTTGACAAAAGATTGTGTTTTCTTTTAACCTAATGAAAGACGAGCTTATGAATGAACGGTAATTAAACAACAAATATGTGGGCAGGGTAGGATTTTCCAGGGCAATCCGTATTAGCCTGACTTTGCATCCCTGAAGTCAGTGGTAGACTTCAGTTAAAGCTGAGTGCTTCTGAATATCTCACCCATGGCTTTAATTTTATATACATCTATACCAGCTCTGTAGGCCCAGGTGTATATATCTTGTTTTGCTTGCAGTATGTATTACTGTTTAAGCAGCAATATTTTAAAGATGCATTAGGATATTGGTTTAAAACACAGAAATCATCAAATCCAACTTTGCTTTCCCACCTACATCTACTGATTTTATAGTGCAAAAGCAGATTGAACCTGCTCTATCTAGAGCAAGAGCAAGTGACTAAGAGGTTCTTATTTGCATGCTTTTATAGCTAGATTGCAGTTTCAGAATCCAGTCTTCATTCCTGTTTATATTAACAAACTAAACACACATCTTTTATGGCTTGATGCAGAAGGCACCATCGACCTTCTGAAAAATCTGAATGTGCTTTCTTTAAGGAAAAATTATTCCCCTTTAATATCTCTGGAGGATGCCTGCTATTTTGGGGGATGGAATTCTTTACTGAGCCATTGTTTATTCAAAACAGCATCAATCACACTCGGTTTTTACTGTCACCCATTTATAGCTATTTAGCAGGTTTCTGCATTAAACAGCTGTGGAAAGTGTCAAGCACTTGCTGAACTATTGCAAGGATCTATTCTTTACCACCCACACCCCCCACTGGAAGGGACTACAAAGTCACTCTTACCACCAGGCCTTGACAGAGGATTTCCCCATCGCTACTCAAAGAACACTGAATAAGTTTGCAGTTTAAGTTTAACAAATGAGGCTTCATGCATTTGTGTCCAACATTTGAAATCATGTTGCAGATAATAAAAAAGCGTTTAACCACAGTGTTGTGTGCAATTCTACAATCCTTTCTAGCAAATCTGAAACTCTAAATAGATTTATACTCTCTTTAAAGAATTCACTGCTACGTATGCTACATGTTGTAAAACTGCAATTGTTATAACAGATCTTTCTTCAGTTCATTATTTATATTCAGTTACATTAATCTGTTAGACACGCTTTCTACTTGTCACCACTGCACAGAGATAGACAGAAGAGAATGGTCCTTGTCCCAAAAGTTTACAGTCCAATAAACTATATTTTCACTTCCTTTATCCTGTCCTAAACATCAAATATGACAAGTCACTTTACATCTTGCATCTGTATGTATTCAGACTTTTTAATTAGTTTAATGTGCCCTTTATTTTAGTCTAATCTAGGTTGATGTCTGAGAGAGGGATCTTAAAGTCAGATGAAAAGGAGCAAATATCTCCAGGTGAATTTTATGGGTTTCTCCCCATGTTTGGAGGTGATAATACATAAATTAGTATTGGCACAGTTCATTTGAAATAGAGCAGGCTGCAGTGTTGGTCTGCAATAAATTATACCCTCCTGTCCTTTCATGTCTGAATGTTATTGTTTCTAGATGGAAACAATCATGGTTGTAACTTTTGGAACAACTGTAACTGCTTGGTACTAACTCCTCGAGAACATAGGAAGTCTATATAATTTTATGGGATTTTTGCTGAACTTACATATACACACACACCCCCCTATTTTCCATCTAATTTTAGCATCCTTGGCTGTATGTATGGCAGACTTCCAATAAACTGCTTCCCCAGAATATTTTCATATGTATAACAAACATTAGCTGTTGGTCCTTTCCTAAATTGTACGTCTGGTAAATCCTAAAAGCAGTTTGGAACTGAGAAAAAACTCAGGCAACAACAATATGCACTGCTCAACAATTTTTGCTGAAGAGTATTAATAGTTAACCTCAGAGCCTTGATAATCTGAATCTCTTCCAGGTGACTGAGTTCAACACTGTTTAGCT